TTGTCATGATGGAATACAACACCTTTTCGATTTGTCAATTCGGGCCGCTTTTCTTCAACTGCATTGTTTAATTTCATTAGTTGTTCAATGTAGACATCAGAATTGATCGTTCTGTTGGGTGGTAAGAGTTCAAAGTAGACAATTCCTTTGTAATCCCACCAAACTGATAACAAAACCTTCTTTTGATGAATATCAGCTTTTGATGTTGTTTGAGTTGGTTCACCTGGCCTGCTCCACGATCTTTTCCGCTTGATATTGTTGTAAACAACCCATTTTTCATCGCCAGTTATCAGTCATTTTAAAAATGGATCATTTTCATTATGTTTCTTTAGCAAATCGCAGCTGCTAATGCGTTGCGTTAACTGTGATTCTTTCAGTTCGTGAGGAACCCAGGTATCGAGTTTTTTAACATAGCCAAGTTGTTTTAAGTGATTTTCAATGCATGTATGTGATACATGAAGCTTCTCTGCAATCTCACGTGTTGTACTGTGACAGTCCGAATTGATTATTGCTTTGATTAGGGCGTCATCAACTTCAACTGGACGACCAGAGCATTTTTCATCTTTGAGTGAAAAATCACCAGAACGAAATTTGGCAAACCAATTTTGACACTGCCATTCTTTTAAGGCTTCGTCACCATAAACAGCACATAACTTTTTATGAGCTTGCGATGCGTTTTTCCCTTTGCGGAAATAAAAAAGCAAACTATGACGAAAATGTTCCTTTTGATTTTCCATTTTTCAACGAACGCCAAACGAAAACTACAAAACAGATCAAAAAACTTTTTTTACTGATTAACAGCTGAATAGCCAACTATCAAATAACAAAATGTGTTTTACATTTGTACTACGTCTGCAAACCTAAAAATTCAACTGAAGCCATATATGTGTGAAACACGCAATTACTTAGTTGCCGACCCAATATTTAATCCAATCTACCTTCAGCTTAAAACTGATTGCCTTAAAATGAAGTATCCCATCAAGCTTTTTATCTTTTAAAACTTTAGTCCTTCTCATTTCTTAGGCTGTATTTTCACAGTACTGAATTGACAGTAGTTAGGTGCAGCTCCAGTTTGGCAAAATGATCACAGTTGCTCGTTCTGAAACAAAAGAAATATATTCCCCCTTGCAATTCTCAACATTTCTAAAAGACAGCGGGGCATGAAAGGACTTCCCACAGTGATGAAGTTGGAGGGGTTATTTTTGTCACAAATGGGAGGTTTGGGAGGGGAGTGTGTCTGATGGGTATCCTGTCCGTCCTCCCGCAGGAGGACATCTCTAGACTTCGAAGAAAGCTGGAGACCACAAAGAAACCAGACAACGGACCCAAATGCGATGAGATTCTGATGGAGGAGATTAAGGATTACAAGGTTAGAAAAACTGCCTCAGTGATTGCTGTATGGCTTTTGTTTTTGTGGGTTTTTTGGTCAGTCAGGGCCCGAAGTGGCCCACTAATAGCTGGGGAGAATAAATATTGAGCTTCCGTACATGAAGGTAACCAGAGAATGGTTTATTTTGTGGAAGAAATGATACTTTTGCCTCGGTGCTTGGTGGATCTTGTTTGCTTATGTTTGAGAGCCCTTTGGATCATAAACCTTTGTGGTTGCTCAGACTTTTACTTTTCTTTTTCAGGCACGCCTGACCTGCCCGTGTTGCAACATGCGTAAAAAGGATGCTGTCCTTACCAAGTGTTTTCACGTCTTCTGCTTTGAGTGTGTGAAGACTCGCTATGACACCCGCCAGCGCAAATGTCCCAAGTGCAATGCTGCCTTTGGTGCCAATGATTTCCATCGCATCTACATCGGTTGACCTAAGCCAGGAGAAGAAGAGGGGCTGGCCAGACAGGCACTTACTCATTCACCTCAAGCCGCTACCTCTTCTCTCCTGGACTGCTGCCTGCAGGCACTTTGTTAATAGTTGTCCTTCACAGACTCTACATTGAGGTTCTCTCTGATAGCTGGATGACATCAGGGGAAAGGACTGCTGAGTGCAAGTGTTGGCTTATAAAGTGATTTAGAAACAACTCTTGTGTACTTCCTACTTTCAGGCTTTTCAACATTTTCTTCTTCAGGCTCATTCCACCTGAAGAAGTGAAGTTGGTATGTTGGGCATGGAGAAGGAAATCAAGAGTAGAGGCGACGCATGGCCATTTGGGGAGGGAGTGTATGTAGGGGATCCTTTAGAAATAAGCTATGTATGGGCGCAAACATTTCTGGATTTGGGTAGTGAACTTTTTGTAAACATGGATTACATATGGTTATAACTGTGCTACTCTTCCCCAGATGGTTTGAAGCCTTAATGAATTATGTCCAGGATGACTCAGTTCATTTTTATTGACCAGTGAAGTAACTTGTGAAGGTGAGCTGGCTTCCTCGTTGAAGTTGTTTTGAATGTTCTATACACCTTAAAGTCTTTACATTTCTTGAGGCCAATCAATTTCAGATTCTGTAGCCCCTTCTATCTTAAAATATAACTAAGATCGAAGAGGATGGGTTCAGGACTGAGATGGAAAAGGTCTAGGTACTCCGGGAACTCCTTACGGGGCTGGGCGGGGTGAGGTAGGAGGGGGGTGGGGGGGTGGTACGTGAGCTATGAATTTCTCTCATAGGCTTCTCCACAGGGAGAATTTCCCTCATCAACCTCTCTATGGAGGTTATTCTGATCCCTGTCTGTTCTTCAGACGATTCTCTCTAATCTTCCTGTAGGACTTTTTATTTTCCACAAGCTTCAATAAAGCAGGATTCAGATTGCTTTTATGTCTTTATTTGAAACTTTGTATTTGCCATTATTAGTTGATTTATACCTGCTGTTATAGAATTGAATTCTGTTGAACAGAAATTATTAATTTAGATTAAGGGGCTTACTGTGATTAAGTTATTTATTTATTTGGTTAATTGAAGTACTTACTCCTGGTGGTTTTATTGGCTCTGTTCTGAGATGGTGCCTAAAAGATGGTTTATTTGACTGTTCTGGGTTCTCTTTCACAGCTCACTGTTGGGTAACAGATTGTGACTTGTTTTCCAGGTAGTTCTTAAAGTTGCAGGTTCTTGAATCTTAAGTTTTATTGTAACCAGGCAAGCAGAAATCATAAATCTCTGGCAAAGGGTTGCATAAAATGGATTCTTTCTGGATCATCACCTGTCCTAGGAGGAGGATAAGGCCAGTCCTTTTGTGGTCACTACCTATAATGAGCAAAACTTGTGATGGATTTCAGTCATGTAGGTTGGGTTTAACTGGGGAATCTTACAGTATCACCAAAGAGGTCACGGTCCCTCGATCCCCTCACCTTCCTATCCCAACACAACATGTAGACACTCAGCCACCTTGGGGTCAAGTCCTGTGCTGGACACAATGCATGTGCAGTCAGCACTTTAGTTGGCTGCTCTGTGCTTTGAGGGCAATCCTGGGCATCACACTGTTGGTTTGGGTACAAATAGACTACTTAGGCAGCAAGTGGTTTGGGTTTAGATATTAACTGTTTATAACAGGCAGGAGCCAGGCACTGTGCTAAATATTAACTTGTATTGTGATAAAGAAATTGAGGGGGTCAGTTTTTCTTCTACATTTTTTTCCTCCTATTTCTAGGGGGAAAAAATGACATGTTTGGAATCTAGACCATATGTATTTGTCTATGTTTGTCTGAGTCCCATCAGTACTGATTAAATGATGTCATGGCTAAGTCATTTCAAAACATCGCCCTACAAACTAAATGCATGTGACTGACAGCCAGTTCCACCCAGCGGTGAGGATTCTGATCTTTTATTTTTATTATTTTTAAAAAATACATATTTTATTGTTTTCTTACAGTGAGGAAGGGAGAAGGGTAGAGAGTTAGAAACATCAATCTTTTAAATATGTCCCTCTTCTGATTAAAATCTAATGGTTCTTACAGTCTTTGGATATAAATCCCATTTAGCACAGTGATCTTGTCTCTGCATTTCTCTTTCCTGTCCTTATAACTTGCCACTCACCTGTACTTTGTCATATTGAACTATTTGATGTTCCTGAGCTGTCTGATTGCTGTAGTTTCCCAGGTTTGTATACGTTTCTTTTACCAGGATGGAGGATTTCTGTGATCGTCTACCACACACACACATGTGCACACATGCACTCTACACAGAAATGTTTTCTTTGTTCCCATAGCACCTGATGTGCATATCTTTGTCAAAGTCCCTGTCATGTTGTTTTGCAAGATTGATCTCCCCAATAGACTGAGTTCCACGAGATTTGGAATCTGCTTTTTTATTTTTCCATCTCCAGCAGCTGGCGCCAATGCCTGGCTCAAAATCATCCAAAAAATGACTGACTGACTGACTGATGCAAAAATCCTTGGTTAACTTGGTGGCTGAATTAGGTTATAGTAGGTCTGTGTTTTACTGAGATTTGACTTAGGGATATGCCAAAAGAATGTGTGTGAAGAATGCATCCAGCTTGGGATTCGTGACGGCAAGTTTGCCAGCAACTGAAACTGCCTGAGTTGTCAGAGGCAGCAAGATGCCTGACACTGCAGGACTGCTGAGCTCTTTGCAGCTGTGTTTATACGAGGTCTTGATTGAACTAGGAAGCAAAAAGATTTGCCTAAAACTGTTTCTGTGAGACTCGAGGACTACAGTGTTGACAATGGACTAGTGCAGGTGCCTTTACCATCCTCGCTTCTCTCTGTGGAGCTGGGGCCAGGCTGAGGCAGGGACTGGGGTGATATTGCAGAAAGACAGGGGGCTCCTAGGAAAAAGAAGATATTGTAAGGCAACAATCAGAATCCTGACGATTCAGTATGCTTGTTCTGGAAACAGCACTGCCTACATAAGAATTTCCGCTACTACTGTCACAGCTGTGTGACCTTGGCAATGTGTAAAATCCCCTGACCCCTAGTTTTTCCATCTGTAAGCTAGAGGTCTAGTGTACCCACTCTGGACTAGGTCCAGAGTTCATGTGTCCGGAAAGCGTTGGTAACAGCAACATTTGACTCTCCAAAGACAACGTCAGCAGTCCACTCGAAAGTGAAGTCTCTATCTGAACGTTTATTCCACAGTCATAGAAACTAAAGATGGAAAAGACTGGAGGACATCTCCTCCACCCACGTGGTTGTACAAGAAAAGTGGCCGGAGCAAAGCAGCCTGTTCACGTCATGCTCACAAGACAGCATCGCAGGTCTTCCTGGAGCGGAGCGATCGCAAACACATTAAAATGAACACACAATGCAAACACTCATACAAACCTTAAGAAAATACTTTTAAGTACATTATTTTCATAAAACGATTAAGAACTAAACTAAAAGTGAGGGAATCCTGGATTCAATGGATGGCGTCGGTGGGTGACGGAAGGAACAACTAAACAGTGAAGGCGGTGAAGTGGTTTTGATGACTAGAAAGCAGTTTATTCTGGAGACTAGTTGGGTTTCCTGGTTTCCTGATCAAACATCTGAGTTGGGAGGAAGAGAGGCTCTTAAGTCATTTCCTTCCTCTTCCTTCTCTCTCTACACCCAGATGTGCTCGCTAGCTACAAGGCTCTGACAGACCCCCACCAACCCTGAGAAGCTTGCTGCCCATGTAGCAAAGCTGTTCTTGGTAGTGGCTCCACTTACCACTTGTCCGGTTGGCATGGAAGCTGCAGATCCTTACAGAGCTGGTGGGACAGCAAGATCCATGAGTAATGAAGAGAGTCACCTCCAGGCACATTAAAGACCTCAACTGACTGGCCCCTGTAGCTGCCTCACTTGTCTGTCTGTCCCGGACACTCTCCCAACTTGTCTCTCACTGTAGGAAGAATCCCTTGTTTTCTACCTCGAAGCATCCCCACTCACAGGCCCTGACTACTATGTACACGAACGATCTGTTCTCAGTAAAGCACAGATGCTTTACTGTGCGCTTCCTGTGCCAGGAATGCCTTGGAAAACGGTGGGGGTGTGCGACATCATGCCATATCTCAGGTTTACCAATGCCAGGGCTTGGAAAGACTGGCCATCCCAATCTCCTAAGAGCCCACAAGAGGAGGAAAGCAGCAGCCTGCTTTACACCTTTAGCCACACCGCCTCCGCCTGAGGACTGGTCTCGTGTTCGGAGCCTGGGGCATGGAACAGGTGGAGCAGAACAGAAAGGAGGGTTTCCAAAGCACCCACCGTTTCATGAAATCGTTTTACAAAACACAGCACACTGTTTCACAAATTGCAAAACACTGTTCAATCACTGCCGATAAAAATAATCACTACGAAGTATGAAGACTGCTTCATTTCACCACAAGCAAAGATGCTTTGTTTTTCTGTACCCAGACCCAGAGGCATCTCAGGCAGAGCTGATGGCAGTGAGCCTGCTGCCAGCCCCTCCCTGCTGCTGACTGCCGCATGCAGGCCCCAGCTCTGGCCAAGCAATTGCTCAGGGGACACCCCAGGAGCTGTGCACAGGCCATCTGCTCTGTGGAGAGGCAGGGCGGCCTGCCACGCCATCACCCTGCTCACAATGCCTCAGTAGAGAAGCTTAAGGTAAACCCAATATACAAAAATCCAAACTTACAAAACAGATACAGTAAGGGACAATTAGTTGCATTACAAAAGGATTCTTTACAAAAGAATTCACCTCTGGGTTCCTTTAAGTAGCCAGCTTCTCAAGTACAGTCAGGAGATGAGCTGAATTATAAAAATGTCCATACAACATTAGGAGCATGGCTGTTACGTGAGTTGAGGTACACCTGTACATCCGGGCTACTCAGAGGTCAGGCTGCACAGAGCTGCGTCTACAGTGTCCCAGCTGGTGCGGGTGGGCGGGCAGGGCTAAGGGGCATAATCTTTCAAAGGCAGCTGCAAACCTACTTCTGGGCCTGGGATGAGAATTGGGGGGGGGGGGGGGGGGGGCGTGGAGATAGGGAGTTTCAAAGCAGAGCTGTCCTGCTTCCACGGCTCACCTGCTCCCCCCCTCCCCGCTAAACTGTTCGATCTGTGAGATGGATGGAGTCTAACAAGAATCCTCCCATCTCCTTCATTAGCATCTCTGCCTACATCCACCCCTGGGTTTTCTCAGACAATTAACTGAAGTGTGATCTAATTACAGCTTAGGATGCTGTCTTTCCCTGGGAGACTGGGTAGCTCTTAGTGGCAATGCAGGGATTCCATTCAAAAAGTAGGCTATGCCTTCCCTATGAGGGGCAGCTGTTACAGGGCACCAGGGCTTGACTCAGAGCTGCAAACTCACTGGCCTTCAAATAGATCAGCGTGCAACAAAGAGCACTGAGAAGATAAATCATTGAAACACAAGGAAGCCTAGTCCTAAATGGTACCTGGCAGGTGGGAGGGCCTGAACGGAGGGTGAGTCAGGTGTGTGCTGAAGTTTTCATAAAACACACACACAGACTGTCAAATCTCAGAGGGAAGGTGAGGGAGGGTGGGTGGGGGAGAAGAGATCAAACAAAGAATTTGTATGCACATTTACATAACCCAAGGACACAGCCAATAGGTGGGTGGAGGCCTGAGGCAGTGGGGGGGGGGGGGGCGCCCACAGGGGCAGGCTATAAGGGGTCAATGGGAAAGAAAAGGGGACAGATGTAAAACTCAACAATAGAGATTTTAAAACAATACATCCTCTCAGAAAGGCTCTTCTCACTCCCCCCATTGCCTAGGACTGCCACACTTTTAGTGTTTCTAACTTTCGGACCACCCATGTCAGTCACCTGGGGGTGCGGGTTAGCAGGTTTCTGAGCTCCCCTCCATTCTCTCCCCTGTCCCCACCCATCCTCTGGGGAAGGGTCCAGCATTCTAACGAGTTCCTGATTCCTGTCTACACTCACATGGGGCATTACATTCTCTAGTTCCCACATGTCTTCACCTCCCTGCATGTCCATGCAGTTGCACACTGGGAAAGGGATGCCAGGCTACTGAGAGCAATTTTTTTTTTTTTTTTTTTGACAGCAATCTTTTAAGAGCATTAGATGAGGACTGGGAGAGAACTGGAGGGACCAAACCTATTCACAGCTCCTCAAAGAAAAGCGGGAGTGAGGCTGGGAGACTCACTTGCTTTTTATCAACACGGATAATGAAAAGCACAGGGCTCATTTCTGGATGGTGTAGCCTGTGATGTTCATAAGCCTGAGGCTCACACGTGGGGTTTGAAGATCTAAGGGCCAAGTGACTGCTGATCTGAACGGCCTCATATATGGTCTGTGGAACACTTTCACTAACCCCCTGGCTGCATCCAAAGGCCACATCCTTGCTCTGTTTTCCTCTCTCCTCTACAGAAGGCACGCACTGCTGTGGAGATGCGGAGCTGGGCTAGAAGGACAGCCCTGTTCATTTCTCAGCCAAATCGCCTTTCTGGCCCAGAGCTTTTGTTCTAGAAGCACGGCGCCTGTTTTCAACGCCTCGTTGGCCTGTCCTCTGTCCCTGCTCACCTCATCCCTGTCCCCATTCGTAATGGCATGTAGACATATTCCTTACTAAATGTCAGGATGGTGCCAGAGAGCTCGGACCTTCAGAGAAACGAGGCTCTACGGGATCCAATCAAGCCGGGGCCAGCTGCAATACGGATGAGCTCAAGCCAATGTCTGGAAACGCCCACTTCGCTGCCCTTAGCTTCTCTAGCCCTGACCCTGTCCCCCACTCAGAAAGCAGGAACAAATCTAGATCGGGGAGTTGTATCAAAAACCACAACCCTGCCAACCCTGCTCTATACTGAGAATAAAACCAGCCACCCAGTAAGACAAGGGAATGAGTAACGAATTTGCATCCCTTGTCAGTGCAGAGAAAAGAGCTGAAAACCAGTAGCCCTGTGGCACCAGGTCGGGGGCTAGCGGAGCTGGGATTGTCTGTTATTCGCAGATCCCTTGCCCAGAGCTCGCTCCTGACTAGTTAGATTCCTGCCCTGGAAGGCTGCTACCCTGGACACCTAGAGGGTGAGCGTGGGAAGAGCTGCTGCCGGACAGGCCGGACTTGACCTCTAAGACCCAGACCTCAGTCCCCCATACCTTCATCAGTGGTTACAAAGGAGCATCCCCGGGTGTCCCCAGGGCTCCGAGGAAGGCCAGGGGCCGAGGGGGCGCAGCGTGGCCGCCTAGAACTCCCGAGTCCGGCGCGCCCTCTGGTACTCCTCCAGCTCCGCCTTCCTGTTCACGGCCAGCTGCAGCTCCTGCCGGATCACCTGGATCTGCTTCTCCAGCTCCACCAGCTCCTGCATCACCGAGGTCCGCGCTCCCTGCAGCGAGTCTGCCTTCCCGTTGGTGGTCAGCGAGGCGGGGAGCTCTCTCCTCCGTGGAGGGAGGGGGATGTCCTGGGGGGGCCCCAGGCCCGGCGGGTTCTGTCCTCCCTCCTCACTGAAGATGTATTTTCGTGGGATGTCGTGACTCTGATGGGCAGTATTCCACACGGAGAGCTGACGGGGTCCCACGTTGGACCTAGGAAACAAAGAGGCTGACCTTCCACGCCACTTCCCATCTGCGAGCCGCTTCCTGGGTGGATGCCATAGGGCTGGGGACACATTCAGAAATGCGAGAACGAAGCAGTGGACAGACCGCCTGCTTGCTCACACCAAGGGGATTAAAAAAGCCGATACCGCTGAAGGTCCAGGTCTTAGCAAGTCTTTTGCTTTCCTGAAACCGGAATGGGTGTATGCGCTGGAGGGCTGATGGCACATTCCCACACAAGAACCTTAGCTGCCTTTTTAGCCCCTTTCTGCCCGAACAGCTCAGAGATCAGCACTGCCTTGAAAGGGTCTGTGGCTAGAAAGACAGAGCTTTAGGAAAAGCAGGAATCAGTTTCTTCAGCTGTGAGACTCTATGCATGCGCCTCAGGCTAGGTACTATAATATGACTCACCTGTCGGCCCGCAGGACCACCTGATGTTTACTGCTTGAGTTTGAGAATAAAAGCCTATTCGTTGCAGGTTTCAGCAAAACATTTCCCATCACAGGGATGACTTTATGTGCGATGGGACTGACAGCTTAACAACAATACCATCATCAACAACAGCAGAAGCGAAACACAAGAAAGCCTCAAGTTCTGGCCTGGATAATGAAAGTCAAATAGAAACAGACTCCAACGCTATATCAGGGTCGTGTCGAACCGCCCACCACCATCTCAGAGGGATGGCCGCAGACGGCCAGCGAGTCACTGCCGGCCAGGCATGGAAGGAGAGGATCTGGTTTTTGAAACACTTTGACAGTAAATGCAATGAGAAGAGCTTCTTGCTATAATAACAGATTAGAATCCAAGCAGCAAAGCTGCTGATTTCTTTCAGCCTTGTTGGAGGAGGAGGAAGAGGACAAGGAGGGAGAGAAGGAGAAGGAGGAGGAAGAGGGGTGGAGGAGAAGGGAGGAGAAGGAGAAATAGGAAGTGTAGGAGGAGGGAAGGAGAAGGCGGGAGGGGGAGGGGGAGGAGAAGAAGAAGAGGAGGAAAGAGGAGGAGAGGACCACTTTCGCAATCTTCCACAGGGCCAAACAAAATAAAAACGCTCTCTCTGGTCCTTGTGCCTTGGTCCCTATCTGTATAACTAAAGGGAGACTTTATGCCTGGACTCTCACTTGCCAGGAAGAGGAGGAGAGGACCTGCAGGTGGAGGGATAACAAAGTCTTGATTCAGTTACACGAATGACTTCATAGGATGATTCCATTTTATTTCCCTCTCTGGTAGATGGCAAAAGTGGTCACAATCCTTTGTTCTTCCTTTCATCCCTCCCCTTTGAATTTGGTCCAGTCTCCTGACTGTTCTGGGCAAGAGAAAGTGACAGAAGTTCCACGCCCAAACTTTTAAGAAACCTCACACACTTCCACTGTCTCTCAGAACCGCTGCTGCCACGTGAGCAAGTCCAGACTAGTCCACTAGATGGCAGCAGACCATGGGAAAGAGTCCCAGTCTTCCCAGGTGGCCCAGCCAAGGCCATCACAGACAGTGCCAGCCATGAGCTGCCCCCTCTCCCCCGCCCCCCCCCCCTCCCCGCCCCACCGCCCCACAGGCTGGCTGCAGACATGTGAGCAAATGCAGCCAAGATCAACCAAATTTCATAGATTCATAAGCAACTCACTGTTGTTTAAACACATTAAGTATTGAGATAATTTCTTACAGTAAAAATTAACTGCTACATGCTCCAAGCTATTAAAACACACAAACACATTCCAAACCACCCTGTAGTTCTTTAACATTTCTCATAGTTTAAGTCTCATATACATGAGCAGGGGGTGCTAGACCTTACCTCTCATGTATGCTGGCCTGGGTAAAAATTCTATACTGAACCCACTTATACCTGGATCAGAGATGTGGTTATAATTCTCCTTCTAGCCTATGTTTCTCTTTAAAAATTTTATTCAACTGATTTTCTATTGAGTTTGAATAATTTCAAAACAATCTTATTTGCAATGTGTGTTATATGGTTTACAATTTTTGTGTAGCTTGGAGTGAGAGGAAAGGGAAAAGAAACCCAGTGGGGTGAAGGAGAGACCAAAACTTACATGAAATCACATGGTAAAGGAAACCAATATATATGTAAATAAATTTACTATATATTGTAAATTCTCTTGCAACATCCACTTTTTTTTTTTTCCTGCTTTAAATAAAAATAGAAACAACATAAACTTTTAGACTATGGCTTAAAATTCTTCCCAGCCTTTCCTCAAACACACACGTTAGTAATCCATTTATTTATCAAGTAGAGGCCCAGTGCATGAAAATTCATGCACTGGCGGGGGTTCCCTCAGTCTGGTCTGCCTTCTCTCACAGCCCAGGAGCCCTCAGGGGCAGAAGGTGACCCAGAGATCAGGGGAAGGAGAGGCCCATCACACCTCTGCTGCTGCCACTGCTGGCAGCGTAAGCCTCGGCTGGCCCTGGTTACCTGAGTCTCGGGTGGCCCTTGGTGGTTGGGGGCCTAAAGGGACTGGGGGACTCTGGAGGCAGGTGAGCTGGGCAGGCCCAGCCTTGCTGCATGCCTGCCACCCCAGCGGAACTGAGGGAACTGGGTACCACCATCTTGTGGCTGTGGGTGCCGCCATCTTTGAGGGCATGGCAGTCAATTAGCACATTCCTCTTTAGTAGGTAGGACTAGAGGACCAGTGCATGACATTTGTGCACGGGGAGAGAGGTGTCCCTCAGCCCAGCCTGTACCCTCTCCAATCTGGGACTCCTTGAGGGATGTCCGACTGCCCATTTAGGCCCATACCCTCTCACAATCCAAGATGGCTGGCTTCCAACCTGTCTACCTGCTTGGTCACCCCTAACTGCTTGCCCTTGCTGGCCTGGTCGCACTCAACTGCCCTCCCCTGTAGGCCCGGTTGCCCCCAACTTCCCTTCCCTGCAAGGCTGGTCCCCCCACCCCCCACAGCCCTCCTCTGCAGGCCTGGTTACATCTAACTGCCCTCTCCTGCAGGCCTTGTCCCTTCCAACTGCCCTTCCTTGCAGGCCTGGTCCCCACCAACTGCCCACTCCTGCTGGCCTGGTCTCCCCTAACTGCCCTCCCCTTTTGGCCTGGTCACCCCAAACTGCCCTCCCCTGCTGCCCTGGTCCCCAACTACCCTCCCCTGCAGGCCTGGTCCCCACCAACTGCCCTCCCCTGCTGGCCCAGTCACCCTAGCTGTCCTCCCTGCTAGCCTGTTCACCCCTTACTGCTCTCCCCTGCAGGCCTGGTCACCCCCAACTGTCCTTCCCTGCTGGTCTGGTTCCCCTAACTCCTCTGCTCTGCAGGCCTGGTTCCCCCCAACTAGCCTCACCTGCAGGCCTGGGTCCCCCCACAACTGTCCTCCCTTGCTGGCCTGATTGCTCACAACTGCCCCCCCTTGAAGGCCTGGTCCCTCCCAAAATGCCCTCTTCTGCTGGCCTAATCATCCACAACTGCCCTCCCCTTCCGGCCATCTGTGGTGGCCATCTTGTGTCCACATGGGGGCAGCCATCTTTGACCACATGGGGGTGGCCATCTTGTGTGTTGAAGCCCTTGAGTGTGGCTCTTTCCACAAAATACCACGTGCGGGTGGGCGTGCACATACAGTGCAATTAAAACTTCGTGGCCCATGCACAGAAGTCAGTTTTCAGCTCTCAAAAGAAATTTCAATCGTTGTACTCTTGATATTTGGCTTTGTTGACTGAGTTTGCCAACCACTGCACTAGGCCATTCAGAAGGTGCACGGCAGCGGTGGGACCTCAAACACTCCTCGCCTTTGAAAGGTTACAGGTGGGTGTTGGTTACAGGAAATGTGGACCCAACACAACCCACGAGGATGTGTTCTGCCTCAGGGTCTTCTCAAAACGAGGGGTTCCGAAAGGGGATTTGCCAAGAAAAGTGGGTAAGCTGAGTGAGAGACACATTTGGCCCTCAGTTTAGCTGAAAGAGATGTGTTTAGAGTCACATCATTGTTGGAACTGGGCTCACTGGGCTTCCTGCTTCTATGAGGTTGGAAAACAAATGCCTCATCATTATGAGATGATGTCTTTACTGCTGTGCCTTCTGCGTTCCTCTGGTTAAACATTTATGTCAAAATAATTATAGGAAACATGTATGACACAGAACAGCTGTGACCCCATCAGCCTAGAGCTTGTTGCTCTCAGGGCTGCAGTCTATGGTACAGGAAGACCCCAGACTGAGCGGCAGGGGGGCGGCTCGCTGACTGGGAAGAGAAATCGGAAATGATACCGCCACAGTGCCCTCCCGGAGAGAAGGGCACTGCGGCGGTATCAGAGGAGATGCAAACAAGAAAAACAAATCATGCTTTCCACTCTCTTCCCTTGTCTTCTACTACAGAAGTGCATGTCAGATTCCCAAATTACCCAGAAGGCCTAGCTCTGAGCCCAGGATCTGTCATCGATGACAGAGTTGCTGGCAGGTAATGCCCTCCACTGAGGCCCCTGGCATATGAATGAACCAGAAACGTAGGCAGCCAAGCCAGGAGCCAGACCTAGATGCTTCTGACATCCTTAGCCACCCACCACGAGGGAACAGGCAACCGTCCTTCCCCGGGTTGGATGTGGGGAAGGTGTGAAGCTTTGATGCTCAAATGTCATCTGTGCCTTGAATGCTTGTTAGCTCCTGGTAACGAGATGCTCTTTTCTGGGGAGTTTGCTGTACGAATGCCAGGAAATGGATGAAGCAGAACACGTCTGCTGCATATTTCAACGCCTGGGAGTGCTAGAATGGAGTGGGGCATGAAAACATGCCCCAGAGGCAATATCGTGAGAATTAATTACCTGCAGAAGCCATGGATTGTATTACATGTATTTTTTACACAAGAGCGATTGCTAAAATAGCTTTATTTTCAGGGCTTTCCATGTATTATCTCATTTAATGCTGACAGCATCTGTAGGGAGCAGGTATGTTTTTAGCTCAGTTTCACACACGGAGGAAACTGAGGCATGGAGAGGCTACATACCTTGTCCAAGGCCACACATGTTGTAAGTGTCTGAGGTGAAATTTGGACCCATGCTGCTCGACTTTAGAGACCATTCCTGCATTTTTAACCTATGCTGCCATTCAGGGTTCATAGATGTGCAGATATGGTTTCCATCTGTATTATTTCTATTTGAAACTACATCTACTTTTACCAATTATGGTTAGCAACAACTTGGCCCTAATCTATCTGAATTATTAATACACTAGAGGCCCGATGTATGAAATTCTTGCAAAGGACTCCGCCCTCAGAGCCATGGTTTAGTCTGAAAGGTTGTTGAGCATAGAGCCTCAGTTCATCTCTAACATTTTACATGAACAAATCTAAAGAAAAACCTGGTTTCTTCTTACCTCTTATCCACACGTTTAGTCTTGAAACGCGGCTGCTTTTCCTCTACAAATGACGTGTTTAGCGCTCTGTGCAATCTCTGGCGGAGAGAACAGAGTCACGCATAGAGGTTACTAGGAATGCCCAGTCAGGGTCAAAGCACCGCTCGAGATTCATTGGTGTATCTCCCCAACACAAGCCTGGGCCTCTGTAAACAAATGTCTAGAGGTGCCTGAAACTGATCAACATTCAGCCCCAAATCTCAGGAGAACAAGAATTCTAAGTTATTCTGTGTGGAGGGGAAAAAAGTAATTTGAAGCTTAGAAAGGCATGTGATATATAGAAGAGCTGTCGTGACGAAGGTGTGGCACTTGGTAAAGGTGAGTAAAAAAATAAATAAATAAAAGTCTGCCCCAGTCACATGACACTGCTGGGAGAACAGCAGCCGGAAGCTGGCTGGCATTCTGGGCCTGGTTCATACCAACTCTGTTGTTAACTATACCAGGATGCCCGCATAAAAAAAAAAGAAAAGAAAAGAAAAGAAAAAGAAAAAGAAGTCTGAACTTCCCAGCAGCTAAAACAAAGAAGGAAATAACACTTGAGAACAAAACTAATCTGTGTTCTCCCCCCCCCTTTTAAAAAACAAAAACAAACAAACAAACAAACATGTCTTTATTGATTTTAGAGAGAGGAAGGGAGAGCAGTAGAGAGATGCAAACATTGATGAGAGAGCCCCCACCATACGCCCTGATTGGGAATCGAACCAGTGACCTCTGGTTCATGGGTCGACCCTCAACCACTGAGCCACATCAGGCAGACCGGCGTTCTCCTTAAGAGACCAAATACTTCCCAGGATGAAGGTAGGAAAACAGGGCTCAAGTGTAACCAATCCAGCGATAGTAAGCTACCTAGGAAAGAAAGTACTCTGACAACCAAGTGGTCAGCAAAACAGATGAATGGGGCGAAAGTGGCCCCATTTTCCGTCCCACTGACAATGCAGAGAGAACCAGGGCCTTCAAGCTCATTTAATGGGTTTCAATTTTGGCATGAAAAGAATCCGCAGGGGAAAAAAAATCTTTCCCAACATCTCTTCAGATTGTCACTATTAAGTGAAACGAGGCTTTACAAAACCCAATGCTGTTGCTTCCACTGTGAGCCGCCGTGGAGGGTTACAGAGAAGAAAGGGGCTCTAAGGGAGAGCTTCACTGAAGGGGACAGTGACTGAAGGGGATGGAGGGAACTGAATCGCACACAGAGGGTGTCTACACCCCCTCAATTCTCCCGGTAATGTGTGTCACTGTCAGTCTGACGTGGGGCTCTGGATCCTCTGGGAATTCTGACCGTTGGGAGTATCGGAGCAAGACGCCCTGGCACTCACCTGACTGGTGTGGAGCCAGTATTGCAGCCTCGACTTGTTCTTGATTCGTGGCAGCAGCAGCCGGTACACGATGTGCTCGCCGATGGCTGTCAGGATGGACAGACCCAGCCCGGCACAGAGCAGCACGAAGAGCCCGGAGAAGTGCTGGATGCCCATCTGCAGCGTCTGGGGCCAAATAGAAAAGGAGAGGCCGTGGGGGTGAAGCTCCATTCGGACCACCCGCACCTGGTCGTTCTTGCACGCAGATTCTTCTTATCCTAGACCACAGGTGTCAAACACAAGGCCCGCGGGCCAAATCCGTCCCGCCAGGCCTTGCAATGTGGCCCGCACCGCGCTGTCATCACTGCACTCCGCTGCGTTTCCATCACAATGACAGTTTATGACTGTTCAGTAAACCATTCGGCCCGCGATTTAGGCTGGATTTTAGATTTTGGCCCCTTCTCTGATTGAGTTCGACACCCCTGTCCTAGACCCAAAGGATGCGGGGTCTGTCCGCGCTGCGTGCCCTGTGGACCTCACCGCAATGTGGAAGCAGTCCAGCCAGGAGGGAGTGCAGGTCCCAGGGTGCCACTCACACATGGTCCTGTGGTATGAGTGGCCCTGGACTTGGGCAGAGGTCCCGAGTCTGGACCAGGCTACAGCCTCCACAGAGGCAGTGAGAGAGAGTCCGAGGGGTGAAACAATTTGATATATTGAAACGGGGAATAGTTATCAAGAAAAGAACCTCTGCCCTAACCGGTTTGGCTCAATGGATAGAACATCAGCCTGCGGACTGAAAGGTCTCAGGTTCGATTCCGGTCAAGGGCATGCACCTTGGTTGTGGGCACATCCCCAGTAGGGGGTGTGCAGGAGGCAGCTGATCAATGTTTCTCTCTCATCAATATTTCTAACTCTCTCTTCCTCTCCCTTCTTCTCTGAAAAAATCAATACAATATATATATATATATATATATATATATATATATATATATATATAATTTTTTTTTTTTTTTAAAGAAAAGAACCTCTCTCATGACATAGATTAAGGTTTCAGGGGAAAAGATGGTGAACTAAAAAATTCTGAAACGTAGCTCTGGCAGGAAACACAGAGATCAACTAGTTCCGGGTACTCTTTTTACAGATGCAGAACCTAGGCACAGAGAAGTAAGATAAATTGAGCCAGGTCCCCAAATGAGTCAGCCGTGAAGGGGGAAGAGCAGGCACCTGCTATCTGTTGATTGCTTACTCTTTTGCCTGGAGAAAGGTATTATAATGGCCATGTATAGTTGAGGAAACTGAGGTCCCGGCAGGTTTTAGGTGCCAGAGTTGGTCTGCAAGTCCAAGTTTGTTTTGCTCCAAAGCCTGGGCTCTGCTGCCGCTACAGCAGCCACAGGGACAATCACCACATGTGACCGCACTTGGCTACGTGATTTCCATGTGCTACCCAAGAGGACCTGCCCGAGTTCTCTACCAAACAGGTGTCACTCAGCACTGACATCGATGGCAAGAGTCAGTCATGGAGGAGGATGGACCTCTGATGGGCTGAGTGCCCACTGCATGCCAGGCGCTCTTCAGAGTCCCACAGGATGGAGACAGGAGGGTTTTGGCCTTGCCTTTAACCAGCCTGAGTCTGGGGAGGCAGCGAACAGCCATCCCCTGTGATACCTGACCCACACCCCCTGCACTCTGTGGGGAGGCTGACTCGGGAGGTAAGATTTAGACCGAGAGAGGCAGGAAGGGAGAGAGGCTCAGTTGGGAAAGTCCTCATTCTAAGCTTCTGGTGGTGGAAATGAAAAAGGAAAGGCGTGACCCTCTGGCACAGTGATGGAGGGGGTTGTGAGACGGATTGCGATTTAGGGGTAGGGTGGGAGGGCAAGCCCTGGGATGCCGGGTGTCAGCCCTTTGCTGGAGGCTTTTGGTCGTCATCACCATTATCATCAATATTTATTTAATAAGTAACGTGTGGAAGGCACAGTTCTGAGCTCTTTATCAGTGCAGCAACTTGTTTAATATTAATAATGACCTATCAGGTGGGTCCTGTTATCTCCATTTTATAGGCGAAGACATTTAGGAACAAAAGAGTGAAGTAACTTGTTCAAGGCTGCATAACTAATAAGGTTAGAGCTGGGGTTTGAACCCAGGCAGTCTGGTTCCAGAGCCTACACTTTTTTTTTTTTTTAAAGTTTTTATTGATTTTTGCGGAGATGGAGAGGGAGAGAGGTAGAAACATCAACATCAATCTGCTGCCTCCTGCATGCCCTTTACTGGGGATTGAGCTCAAAACTCGGGCATGTGCCCTGACCTGGAGTCGAACCAGCAACTTCTGGGTGCATGGAACAACACTCCACCAGAGAGCCACACCAGCCGGCCAGAGCCTACCCTCTTAACAGCTCATTTCACTGATGGGGGTGATCCTCCCATCCTCTTGAAGGGATTTTCCTTTCTTTCATTCTCCCCACCTCCACTCCCAACCCGGGAGAAACTGCCAGCAAGGGAACGCTCAGGCATGGCTAGGCCTCCTGGGTGTTCCAGGAAGTGTGCCTAGGGGGCAGGCAGAGCTTGGAGACCTCAGGTTTTGGTGAATCATGGGCCACAGGTCTGGTTTCCTCCATGACGCTACTTCAGGCCGTGGCTCAGGCTCAAAGACAGGCTCTGAAATCCCTGGTGAATGAAAGACTACAGGTAAGCAGGGGCACAGAGCGGGTCCAGGCCCAGGAGGCTGAGACACAGGCAGGGAGACTGGGCAGACCACCCAAGGATGCCAGCGGGAACCAGCCCCCGGGAGAGGAATGCTGGGCTTTGTGAGGAGGTGTACGGGGCCCAAGGGCCACACAGGTGCTGGAGCTTTCCCGGAATGTCTCTCTACAGGTGGTGTCAATTGTCTAACTTCATCTCTGCAAAGTATATGCAAATGTGTTTGGAAATAGCTTTTGGCCTGCACCTGCTGTAATGGATACCGGAACTAGCCATCACAGAAGGATTCGGTGTGTTATTACTGCTCCGGGTGAAGAGCTAACTGTGGCAATTCACTTTGGACTTGAACATCATCAACCGTCCAGCAAAACACTAAACAGACTGGCACTGCTTTCTTTCAAGGCGCTGCCAGGATGAAGAAGAAAAGTGTAACCCACAGTGAGTCATCTCGCCTTTAGACACACGGCTTCCCTCTGTGTGTCCGTGGGCATCCAATCATCTCATTTTCCTCTTACCACCTCAGTAACAGACAGGCTGTTTCCAGCTTAATGTACACCTCTCTTTCTTTAAATTTCTGTTTACATGCACACAATAGAAATGGCTACTTTATAAAACTGGGCATTTGATATGTGTACCAGATACCATAGATGGGTGATATGATCTTGCAATAACCCCATTAAGTACATTATCATCCCCATTTCACAGATGAGGGAATTGAGGCTCATAGAGATTAATGACCTCGGCAAACTCATTAGTTAGTAGAGCCAAAGATCAGAAGTACAACGACTGAAATTTCTTTTGAGAGCCCATTTTTTTTTTTAAACGTAAGCTTCTTCTAATGCCACGTCTTCAAAATAGATTCGCCCGGGCCATGGTATTTTGTGGAAGAGCTATACTCAAGGGGCCAAAAAGCTGCATGAGGCTCGAAAGCCTCGGTTTGCCGATCACGGACCAACCCAAGATCACACCGCTAATAAGTGGGGAGCCAGGTTGTGGACCCAGGTCTGTCTGCAGCCAAAACCCACGTTGCCTTTCGAACAAACACCGTTGACAGATCCCTGGTCATCTGAGCTCTGTTTATTCCCTCTAACAATATTTTTATTCAAAACTCACCGTCTGAGCTGAAAACCCACAGTAAGCTGCCTGTGAGCACCAGAGGAATTGTGCCTGAGCCTGATTGCGATGTGATGCACAGCTGCAGCCACAGTTCGGCCGCTCGCCCCTGAGGACCAGGTGAACGTGCTGTGCCTGGGATACATGCACCTGTCCCCCCCCCCCCCCCCCCCCCCCACCGCAGTCCCCAGAGAACTTGTTTTCGAATAAGGTGGGACCCACTCCACTTGACACGTATCACATGTATCACTGGTCGGAGGAAGGAGGAGGAGAGGAGCAATGAATATTCAATGTCAAATCTTTAAAACGCATTTCAGTGAGGCAGACAAAACGATGATTGCAGTTGTGACATGAGAAGAAACATCGCACCCAGAGATGCAGTAACAGCCCAGCCTCATGATGTCGAGAGCCGCATAATGAGAGTGAAGAAAGGCAGACAGAAGCGTGTTTTTTATTTTTTTTATTTTCTTCATTGCTTCACCTGTGGCTTCAGTGGAGCGCTCACAGCCCACACTTCCCAAAGGCCGAGGACAGAAGAGGGTCCCAGGAGTTAGCCAGGGACAGATCTCAGTCATGGATGGCTTCCCTCAGTCCTGCCAAGCTCACCCTGGCCCATCCAATCTCACTGACCTGTTTAATCAATAAGGAACCATTCCCCAGATTGCAACAGGTGGGGTTACCAGGTCAGATGCTATAACTGTTTTGACGTGGCGTGGACCGCAGCCACTGCTGACAGCCACCCCCAGTGCTGCCCCAGTCACGGATGCTCACTCCTCCAGTAACCCTGCTCTATAATCAATCCTGTCTTTCTGTTTTGAATAGCCTCCAATCAGTGAGGCTAGTTTCCAATGCTTGTTTTTCCCCCTCTTTTTTTTTTTTTTGTCGGAATCATATTTATATTGTTTGCCCAATTACGCATTTCAGAAAAGTTTGAGAAAAACTATTAACCCCTTTCCTAACATATTAATGTTTCTCCATTTTAAAATTTCCCCCTTAGCTTTTATTAGACAGCAGTTTGCAATGTGATACAGCTGTGTTTGTGTTATGGGAACGCTTCTGTTGTTGCAGTCGTTAAAAATATACCATTTGTAGGGATACATGTTTTATGGCCAGCTGTTTTATTTTTGAAAAGAATGACCACGCCAGTCCATCTAGAGCTCTTGTCCCGAAGAGTGGGGCCTGCTAAGTCTCTCCAGGGAGACCTCATTTCAGCCCACACTTCAGAGGCAATTTAGTCAAGAAAAGGCCACCCACCCCATCCTGGGATAGTTTGCGTTCCTTTATGCTAATTTTGACTTTTAAAAAATCTTCCGTTTCTTGAAGATTTTGGCAAACAAAGTATTTGTGAGGATAAACACCATGTAAAACTTAACAGCGAAACAATTTATTTGTGGGTCGGATTTAGCCCCTGAGCTGTTAGATGGAATCTGTTGATCTACAGTAGCTTTATGGCTAGTGTCCTTTCAATGCTATGATGTTTCCTTTGAAAAGGGCCTCTTCTTTTCAAGTCATGCAAAACAGGTAGAACAAGGTAGCCAGAATAACCACCTACTCTACATGCTAACGGAGAGGATCAAAAGTGTAAGTGAAGAATGGAGTTTGTAATTAAAAAAGAAAATTCCTCGAAGGTTTTTCCTTGAGAATTCTTCTAATGCATGATAAACTTAGAGGATAAACCAACTGCTCTGGGTCCATGTTTTTTTCTGTGTTTCAAAAGAGGTGTCTAGTGGTTTGGGGATTGCAACATATGGTAGAGAGCAGACACAGGCGGTTAATACAGGATTCATGAGGACATATTGTTACTGATCTTTATAGACTCAAAGGATGCTGGTTGCTGTTAGCAGTTTAATCTAAATACTGTCACTATTTTTTAAGATGTGATGAAGGCGGAAGATGATTTAAGACCACCTTGCCAGTGTGTGTGTGTGTGTGTGTGTGTGTGTGTGTGTATGCATACCAAAGAGGTGGGACTTCCCTGACAAGCTATTCACCTCTTTTCCGAAAACTGAGTCTTGATTTGAGTTCAGTAATATGACGATCAGAAATAATTTGAGGCAGTAAATACAGGCACCACCAAACGGGCAGACAACGCAGTGAGTGGGAAAAGCTCTGTGTTTGGGGTCAGAAAGGCTGGTTCAAGTCCTTGCTTTGCCACTAACCAGCTGGGAGACCTTGGAGAAGATTCTAGATCTCTCTACAGCATCATCTGTAAAATTGAGAGATGGTACTCACCTCACAGTGTTGCTCTGAGGATTAAATGATACAACAAATGTAACTATCTTGGACAATGGTTCAGTGAATGGTAACTACTTATCCTCCACCTCCTTCCCACACACACACAAAAAAAATTGTACAGATTTTGTTGGCAACCAGCAACAGGGAGGAAAGTCAAAGCATTCTAACTTGGAAGTATATACAGTCTTCCTTCCCCCAAAGCCATATAAAGCCAGGTCTTTCCAGTTGCTGAAACTCGAAACAGCCTCTCAGTTCAAGGTTAATGCCACACAGCCTAGGGCAGTGGTCGGCAAATTGCGGCTCAAGAGCCACATGCAGCTCTTTGGCCCCTTGAGTTTTTAGCCAAGGCCAGCTTAGGAGTACCCTAACTACGTTAATAACAATGCACCTACCTATATAGTTTAAGCTTAAAAAATTTGACTCTCAAAAGAAATTTCAGCTGTTGTACTGTGGATATTTGGCTCTTTTGACTATTGAGTTTGCCAACCACTGGCCTTGGGTAACTATAGTAAGTAGATTGATTGAGCTATTGGCTTAATTCCAGCCACTCTAGAGCTGAAATACTTTTCCTCATCCTGTTAACTGTGAAAATGCAATCCACATGTTTCAAACCCTTGGTCATGATTTAAAAATTGCTGTATTTTATGGTGCACATTGCAGAGTATATAAATAATGTTTTGTTTAGAGGTTATCCTGGCTAGCATTACATATGCTCAGGGATTTCCAGATGCATCATTAGGGGGCTGCAGCCTGAGAAAGGGAAAGATGGTTTCTGTTGCCCACAGAGTTGATTAAAAGGTACCCAGGCAAGAGAAATATATGTGTCCCTGTTGCTACAATGGGACAACTAAAAACCTGTCAAAGACACTTAATCACCACAAGGAAATGAAAACTGTTCACCGGACACCGGATGTGTACAAATATTTCCTACAGATAAATCCATGAGCCCTGGCTGGGTAGCTCAGTTGGTTAGATTATTATCTGATAAGCCAAGGTTGCTTGTTCGATCCCCAGTCAGAGCACATACAAGAATCAACCAATGGACCTGGTTGGTGTTGCTCAGTAGTTAAAGTCTTGGCCCTTAAGGGTCTTGGGTTTGATTTCCAGTCAAGGGTATGTACCTGGGTTGCAAGTTCAACCCCCAGTTTGGTCAGGGCGTGTGAAGGAGGCAACCAATAGATGTGTGTCTCTCACATTGATGTTCCTCTCTCTCTCTCTCTCTCTCTCTCTCTCTCTCTCTCTCTCTCTCTCTTTCTCTCTCTCCCCTCTCTAATTTTCACGCTCTGTAAAGATCAATGGAAAAAATATCCTTGGATGAGAATTAACAACAACAAATCGACCAATGAATGCATAAATAAGTGCTACAACAAATTAATCTCTCTCTCAAATCAATAAAAGTCAATAAGTGAAAATGAAAAAAACCTGTACAAAAGCAAAGATATATACAAATACATATACGCTGAATGGCCAGATTATTATGATCTCTGAATGCACATTAATCTGGCCACTCAGTATACGTGTGTGTGTGTGTGTGTGTGTGTGTGTGTGTGTGTACACACACACACACACACACACACACACTAGAGGCCCTGGGTGAGTCCGGCTAGCCTGGCCAGGGGAGGGGACATGGGCAGTTGGACGGCCTGCCTGCTGGTCGAACTCCTGGTTGAGGGAAAAATTTGCATATTAGCTTTTTATTAGTATATAGGATGTATACTGAGTAGCCAGATTATTATGCATTCAGAGATCATCATAATAATCTGGCCACTCAGTGTCTATTTCTTCTTCAAAATATATTTTTATGGACTTCAGAGAGAGGAAGGGAGAGGAAGAGAGAAAGTATGGGCTGTCTCTGGCACGCCCCCTACTAGGCATCGAGCTCACACCCCCAGCAAGTGCCCTGCGGGGAATGGAGCTGGTGACCTCCTCCTGGTGCAGGGGGCGCCGCTCAATCAACTGAATCACACTGGCTGGGATTTTTTCCATATATATATATATATATATATATATATATATATTTTAACTTTTAAAGTTCATCTCCACTCTTTATAATTTGGTCTTCAAATCAAAACAAAGACAAAGACATATATATGTATATAAGAGCCATTTCCTCCTCCTTCCCCACCAGGCTCCTTCAGGTGTTCCCCCCAAATCAAAATGAGAAGAGTTAATGACACTGAGTTGGTTATGAGGTTGGTGTAAAAAAAAATGTGGCTTTACAAATTGAGACACTTCCAAGGGAATCAGAAAGACCGTGGTGGCGGCTGGGCAGTCTTGAGCTGACCTTGAAAGAGATAGAGACCTCAAGGTCACCGCTGGGCGGCGCTCTTCCCCCCGAAAGCTCACACCTGCACCACCAGCTGCTTGTGGACCTCCAGGCTGCTCACGGCGGCGCGGAACTCCTCGTACGAGAGCCTGCCATCGCCGTCCGTGTCCAGGATGATGATGCTCTTGTCCACCACCTGCTGCAGCTCCCAGTCCTTGAGGTTGTTGCCCACCATCATCTTCAGCACCTGGAACAGCTCCCCGTTGGAGATGTAGCCGTCCTTGTCCATGTCGTAGATGTTGAAGGCGAAGCGCAGCTTCTGCTCCTCGTCGCTGCGGATGCTGAACTGGGAGGTGCCCGCCACGAACTCCTCGAAGTCCACCTGGCCGTCGCCGTCTGCGTCGAACACCTCGAACACCCGCTTCGCCAGCGGGTTGTGCCACAGCTCTGGCAGCGACAGCAGCTCGTTGGCGCTCAGGGCGCCCGAGGAGTTCACGTCCAGCTTCTTGAACCGCTTGCCCAGCCGCTTGATCTCGTCGTGGTCGAAGTGGCAGCCCATCTCTGTCGGGTAGCTCGCCTCGTTCCCCATCGCGGGCGCCGGGCGGGCTGGCCGGCTGGCAGGGATGCAGGGAAGGCGCCCGGCTCCTGCGGGGACCGTTATGCCCAGGGAGGCTGGGGGTGGGGGTGGGGGTCTGGGTGGGGTGGCGCCCGGGATTCCACCAACCAGACCAGGAAACAGGCGGCGCTGGGGGCGGGGCGGGGCGGGGCGAGGAGGGGGTGGTGACAGAGAAGGGAGTGGAGGAGAGGGGATGGGGGGACACCTTTGGCGTGGAGGAGGGGGTGAGCCCAGAGAAGAAGAAGCTGAGAGCCAGGGCTGCCCGCCCCTCTCCCTGCTCTGTGCCCCTAGGTTTCTGAGTAATCCCTCCCCTAGGTTTCTGAGTAACCCTGTCCTCTGGCTATTGTTTCACCTTCTCACCACCCCAGGGTCCCTTTTCCCTTACACAGTAAGCTGTGAGGGGCAGATGCTGCGCAGGGGGGACGAGGTGGGCATGGATAAGGACACACAGCATGTGCCCCTGAGTGTGCCCATGGCAGAGGGAACTGCAGGAGGCTCCTTAGGCTTCCTTATTGACAGGCCACATGTGAGGACCAGATGAGTCTATACACCACACCGGGATGCTACTCCGTATTCCTCAGTTCTCCCAGAGGGTAAGCCAGGACGGACATCCTTTGGTGCCCTGGTCCCTGGCCCCTGGCCCGTTCCAGGCCCCGGGGTCCAGCGTCTTTGTAGGAGACTGCTCACACATCACACACCATGTCTCCCGGGGCTCATCGCGCTCCTGGGAATGCACACAGTGCGTGATCCCGGGCCTTTCTCAAGACAGCAGTTCCCAGGAGTAGAGTCTCCATCATCCTATTTCTTCGCATCCACGTCTCACACACAGTGCCTGTCTCTGCTGGATGGTGCCCGGGTGGCCGTCCTGCAGGGCACTGTGTGCCCAGTGCAGCCTTTTGCCTGTTGAGAGCGACGGTGGCTCCTAGGCCATCTCACTTCCTCCCCCTTCGCTTGAACAGATGCGTCCTTTTACTAGGTGAAGATGACTATCACATGTCCTCGCATTCCTTCTTCCTTTAGGAGCACATCAGGTGCTCCCACTGCAGGAACAACAGGCCAGGCCACCCAATCAGTGTGAGGGGGGCAAACCCTCCCTCGTTTAAAAAATGCTGGCCTGTTCTCTGTGCATCAGTTCAGCTGAAAGATCACCTCCAGGTAACCATGCTGAAACTGGCACAAGGCCACAGGGTACCTCACCCCTGGATCCAGCCAGTTTAACAGAAAAGGAGAGTTTTGGAGGCTCAAATATTTCATAACGGAATTATTATCCCACTTGGCTGAATTCACTAGATCCAAAAGAAGCACCACCAGATAGAAAGACCCATTATAAAATAGGATGATCCTGCATCAAATCTTATCCAGCATCAAAATGGACAAGTTGCTTAACCTCAGTTTCCCATCTGTAAAATCCAGTCAGCGATTCAATATTTTGTACACTTGTGTGAGGATGAAAGCCGATGTTAGCCAATATGATACATCATTATCCTCACGGTTATTATTACTAATTGTATTATTATTTACCCTGCTGGTGGAGAAAGAATACTTGGCAAACTGGGCACTTACATGCATGGTATGTCCCTTTCTTTTTCTTTTTAAAAATGTATTTTACTGATTTTTTACAGAGAGGAAGGGAGAGGGACAGAGAGCCAGAAACATCGATGAGAGAGAAACATCGACCAGCCGCCTCTCGCATACACCCTACCGGGATGTGCCCGCAACCAATGTACATGCCCTTGACCGGAATCAAACCCTGGAACGCTCAGTCCGCAGACTGATGCTCTATCCATGAGCCACACCGGTTTCAGCTGTTATGTCCCTTTAATGAACACACCCCACATACCGTTTACAGTGTGCCACTCACGGCTCTAAACATTTTGCCAGCATTGCCTTTGACTCCCCCAGTCCAGCATTCCTTGAGACTGACTGCAAACTTCCCACTGGCCCATTAGCCACTCGTACAGAGTCTTCACTGCCTTTCTCCAGCGTTAGCACCTTGATGGGCATCATTTAGAAAGGAGTCATCAGCATAGTAGCTTTTAGAAAGTGTATTCCTTTCATAGGGTGTGTTAGTAGGAGGCACCAAAAAGGTGGTGGAGGGAGCACAGGAATTAAACAGACCCCTCCAGGCTCCACTCTGCTTCCGTTAGCTGTGAGCTTTTAACAGGCGCACAGCTAACAGAGGCAGAAAAAACAGTACTATTTACTTTAAATGTGATGGAGGGTATTTCAAGTCGGGTTGCTGGGTAGGCATAGTTTTCATCTATCAACTGTGATAATAATTGCACCTGCTTTGTCAACTGCATGTGGCTACTGTAAGAGTGAGATGAGGGAGTGCCTATAGAAATGCTATGTAAGAGGAGAAATATTATCTCAAGAGTTAACTAATGGAATGAGGGAACAGACAGTCTTGGGAAGATGGTGCCATTTCATTGAATGTGTGCAACCAGACTTGCCTTACTCCTGCCTCACAGAGGATGTGATGAGATGTTGGATCTGACATAACAAGGTGAGGCTGAGCTCTATTATTCCCCATTTCATAAACTTTATATTAGTTCAGCATTATTACGGGACTCACTGCCATTCTTTCAATTTTTCTTTGGTGATTAATCTTAGTCATTTCTATGGAAAAAAAGTTTTTGTTACTCTTTCAGTTCAAAACTGCACTGTGGAGGCATCTGGAGCGTTGGGCATTCACTGTAATAACTAAATTAAAAGAGTTGACAGAGCGTGGTGGGAGAAATCAGGAGCCTGATGGTCCCTCCATTTCAGCAAGTTATTTTCTTTATCAAGAGTTTTCAGATGAAGAATTATGAGATGGTTATGTGCAAAAGTCGCTGACATTGGAAAATAAGACGGTGAAAATGAGGCTCCTAATGGCCGTTCTGGGAGCTGCACAGGGAACCTGGACCTTCAGCAGGAAGGGAAGCCCTCTCCTTTCTGATATTTTGTGACGTCTCACATCATGGCCACGAGATGGCAATCTTCACACACTTTCATGCTTTGTTTACTTCAAGCCTGGAATCTCGAGCCTGGAGGCAACTATAATACTTAGCACAGGGAATAATCAGGGAGGAGACCTATTTCATGTGATGGATCACCCATAGATTCAGTGTAAGGAAATCTAAAAAAAGAGGAAGACTCTCTTGCAATAGTCCTAATCAGTTTGAGCACTGTTCACACCTTTTAGCTGCCTAGTAAATAAATAACGTTCATAAATGTTCATGAGCTCACTGAATTTAATCAGAGGAAAAGCAAGAACTATTGACAGTATAATTTATGCCCCAAGCATCTCTGGTGTATAAAAGAGGAGACCCTTGTTCCGTGAGATCTGTTTACTTGGTCATTAGCCAAGGTGATGGGGCACTTGCTGGAATTCGTTTTCATTGTATCAGAATTCAAACTTACTAACCAGGGAGCAACAAAGGAGCCGCCCTAGCCTTGTGATGATATGGGGTGAGAGGAAAACACAATGAGAATTGTCGAATTGTCCTTCTGTCTCCAGTCTGCCTACTCCAGGAACCCTCCATCACATTTAAAGTAAACAGTACTGTTTTTTCCTTCAATATTTAAAGCGTAAATGGCTTGTATAAGCCATCTTCTTGTTTTTTCGCTCAAACCTCAAAGCTGAGTTGGAAGAAAGGAATAACATGATATTATAAAAGCTGGTTAATTAACACATGACTGGATAAAGAAGATGTGGAACATATATACAATGGAATACCCCTCAGCCATAAGAAAAGATGAAATACTACCACTTGCAACAACATGGATGGATCCTGAGAATATAATAAGTGAAATAAGTCATAAATAAAAACTAAGAACCATGATTTCACTCATATGTGGGGTATGAAACTGAAAGCAACAAATAAACAAGAAAAACAAACAAAAACAAATAGACACATATAACAACAATGTGGTGGTTACCAAAGGGGGTCAAATATATGGTGACGGAAGATTTGACTCCAGGTGGTGAGCACAATGCAATATACAAATGATATACTATAGAACTGTACACTTGAAACCCACATAATATAATCAACCAATGACACCCACCAGCCAAATTAACCTTCCATCTTTGTTGGGTTAATTTGCATGCACAGACTCGGAATGGTTGGGTGGGGCAGGATCTCTGCTATTAGGGGGAAAGGAGGGTACAGAAGGAGCTACAGGAGCAGCACTTCAGCAGGAAAGAAGATTAAATGTTCCGGTTTGAGCAAACAAGTGACCCTGAGAGGATGCGGTGAAGGATTGAGAACAGACAGACAAGAGAAGAAAGCTGGGTCTCAGTGGGATGCTGTCCTCTCTGATGGAGAGCTGTCACCAGCACCACAGACTACAAGACATGTCTTTATTTTATAGCCAGATGCCATGAGGTAAAGTAAGTGTGGTCAAGATGTTTACAACATTCTCGTGGTTTTCAGGCCTACTCAATTACATGCTCCCGAACTCTATCAAGTCCACATCACTCAGGCACGTGGAGCCACGTGTTCAAACCATAGGTTCAAGTTTACAACTACAGCTGTTGGCTATAACTGTGCTGGGAGGGCTCTGCTCTCCAAGCTGGGACTAGCATGAGGCTATGAGAGGACTGTGCCCTCTCATTAGTCCTAGGCTTGAACCTGTCCAAACACTGTAGCCGCTCTCCACATTTACCAAATATGTTTTTCTTCTATGTGCACAGCTCTATACTCAGGGAAGAAGAAGGAAACATTTGTTATTCTAAGTATACTCCACAAACTAGCTCATTAAATATATTTCACTATAAGTAGACTCTATTAACAACAGTGTTGGGGTTAGGCTGTGAAGTTTTAGAAGCTGCATGGCTTGCAAAAACACACAATGATGGAGACAGGAGTCAAACCCTAGTGTGTCCACTTCCAGAGCAGAAATTCTTGTAGTTATCCCAGACTATCCCAAATAGCAGTGATTGTTGGGGAGGTAAGAACACAGGAAAAGTGAAAGCCTATCATGTACTTCTGGTTCTAGCTGTGGCTGGGGAA